TCTTCTTCTTCTTCTTCTTCTTCTTCTTCTTCTTCTTCTTCTTCTTCCTCCTCCTCCTCCTCCTCCTCCTCCTCCTCCTCTTCCTCTTCCTCTTTTTCTTCCTCCTCCTTCCTCTCTTCCTCATCCTCCTTTTCCTCTTCTTTTCTGGTTTTTCAAGACAGGGTTTGGGACATGCTCTGTAGAGCAAGCTGGCCTCAAACTCACAGAAATCCACCTGTCTCTGCCTCCAGAGCACTGGGATTAAAGGCATATGCCACCCCCACCCAGTTAATCTCAGCCCTTTCAAATGCAGTTGCTTTTCCATGAAGTTCTTTCTAACAGCTTCAACAACTCTCAGAGATCCATCTTTACAAATGATAGCCATGGGCTCAGCAGGTTAGAAAGTACGCTGTTCTTGTAGGGGACCCATGTTCAGTTCCAGAAAGTTCACAATCTCTTGTAACTCCAGCTACAGAGGGTCCCAACACTTCTTCTCTCCTTCACAGGCATCTTGCATGCACAAAAGTGTAAGAGAACATGTGAACGTGCACACAATATTAAACAATAATACTAAATTACAGCATCTCAGTGGTGAAGAATGTTTATTTAACATATGCAAAGCCCTGCATTTGATCCTGCATTTGAGCACATGAAAATAAATGCCAACAAATACTAGAACCCTTGCTGTCTGTCATCAGAAACTCCTTTTTTATTCCCGTTTTTTGAGACAGGGTTTCTCTGTAGCTTTGGTGCTTTTCCTGAAACTAACTTATAGACCAGGCTGGCCCCAAACTCACAGAGATCGTCTGTCTCTGCCTCCCGAGTGCTGGGATTAAAGGTGTGCACCACCACTGCGGGGCTCAGAAACTCCATTATGACAGTTGCTCCTCAGCATAGGTTCCATGTCTCAATCTGTGAGCTCTGTATTTGTGCAATGTTGACTACCCAGAACAGTCTTATTCAGGGCCTTCAGTAAGCCCTGACAAGTGACTGACTCATCTTAGTGACATTGTAATAAATGCTCTCTGCAGCCAGCGTTGTGCATCTTTGGTAAAATTCACTTCTGCACAAATGTTATTCCATGAACTAACAGAGGTTACATCAAAGGTGATATGAAAATTAGTTATAGTGACTGATGCCAAAGGGGAAAATTGAGGGAATCTGCACAGTAAAAACGATATAATAATTATTTCAATTAATGAAACAGCTCTTGACCTTGGAGGTTTGACGGTAATGTCAGTGATTCCAAAAGAGCCACTTCCAATGAGACTTGTGTAGGTGAGACCTCCAATCCTGCGGGTAACCTTCATGATAAGTACCATTTTCTAACTGCAAAACAATAGGCTCTGATAAAAGAAAATTATGGTGTTTTCCCCTTGAGACAATTCTACAAAGTCATGATGCTTATATAGATTATCCAGGGGCCAGGGAGAAGACTCAGTGGGTAAGAGCACTTGCTATGCAAATATGAAGACCTGAGTTCAAATACCCAGTGCCCACATGAAAAAGAAAGCTGGATATGAATGGTGTTGATTGCCCACCATAACTAGATAGTTGGACTTTAGTGCTGAAGATGCAACACCCTTGGCTGCAGAACATGGAAAAATCAAGCTGAAAGAGACCTGAAAATGCCTCGCCCTTGCTGGCTAACTTTCTTGGTGCTGGAAGATGCTATGTGGGTTCCTGAAGTAGAAAAGATATCAATGGTTTAGCCAGCAGTGAATACTGAATGCCGTAATACCAACCTGCCAAGCAAGATATGGTCCCTGGTACAAAAGTGGCTTGAGTATTATTGGGGTAGCCAACCACTCTCTAATCAAATTTGAGGCCTGCTCCTCAGGAGAGTATTCATGACTGATTTTATAAACATAGTCAAAAGCACATGAACTCAGGAAGTCATAAGCCCCAGCAGGGAACCTATTAATGTTGTTTTGCTAAATGGACAAGTTGTCAAACGGCCTTCTAAATACTTCTATTTATATCAATAGTACAGTTCTCAACCTTAGTCAGAGAAACTTCTTTCTGCACTAAGCGGTAGTGAATACAGACTCATAACTTGCCCGGAATAAATGACTGCTTGGCCCCATCAACAACATCAAGGAAAAGGAAGCAGAACGTAAGAGCCAGGAGTGGAGAAGAGTTCCTCATAAGGCTGTCTTCTGGGGATGACTGAGCCATTGCACTCACACTGCAGCTGTAGCTGCCTACACAAGACATGTACAAGATCAAGCCAACGAGATCAGGTAACATTCCAGCAGGCTGCACTAAATGGACTTAGTGAGCTAGAAACCACAGAGAGTGACAGTCCATCATCTATGGAAGCCAAGGCAGGAACCGAAGCAGAGGCCATGGAAGAATGCTGCTCACTAGCTTGTTGCCCATGTATTTCATAGCTGCTTCCTCTGAGATGGAAACATTTAATTCTTCAGGGAAGAAGTCAAACAACTCAAAATAGCACTAGGAAGTCCCCGAAACTGATCAGATTCACTCCCTTCCGAGAGTAAACAATAAAGGCTACCTTAGACAAGCTGAACTGCAAAGACTCTTAGACCAGACCAGCTGTCTGGAAGAAGCAGAGACCAGTGGGGCTGCCTGCAAGAGATTTAGAACATCTGAGTCGCCTAATGGTATTCTGCTACACTCATAGGTCAGTATAGTGTGTTATTCAGCCATCACCAGAGGGGCTTTCTCTGGCAGCAGATAGGAGCAGGTGCAGAGACCTACACCAGACATTGTGTGAAGAGAAAATCTAAATGAGATATCTCCAGCAAATCTCTCCCCTCAGATCTCAGAGTGTCCAATGGAAGAGGAGGCAGAAAGAGCATAAGACTCAGAGGGGATGGAGGACACCAAGAACAAGGCCCTCTGGATCAACTAAGCAAGGCTCATATGAACTCACCGAGACTAAAGCAGCAGACACAGGGTCTACATGGGCCTGGACTAGTTCCTCTGCGTATATATTATAGCTTTCAGCTCAGTATTTTTAAGGGACATCTGAGCAGAAGAATGAGTGTGTCTCTGATTCTTGTGTCTGCCTTTAGGACTGTTCCTTCTGTGGGGTTGCCTTGTCCAGACTTGATGTGATGGGTTTTGCCTCATCTTATTACATTTTATTTTGTCATATTTGGTGGTTATCTCTTAAGTGCCTGATCCTTTTCTGATGAGAGACATAAAGGGAGTAGATCCAGAAGGGAGGGAGGGAGGAGGGGGGAAGAAATGAGAGGAGTAGAGGGAGGGGTAACTCTCATCGGATAAACTGTATGAGAAAAAAACTATTTTCAATGAAAGGGAGAAAGGAACACCTGAGTCCCTCGGAGAGGGCACGCTGCAAACTTTTGAGCTGCCTGCAGGCTGTGCAGTGTGTTCCAGGTTTCCAACGCTGGGGCAGGCTTTGATGGTGCAGCTGTCTTTGAGTCATTTCCCCTCCTGTGAGCAACTCATCATCCACATCCCTGTAATGAACCCAATAAAACTCATTGGTGCATCAAGTTGGACTTTGGTGGTATCTGTGCTTTGGTCTATACTGAGCTCACTCTCTAGCGTGAGTAGATGTGTAAGTAGTGTCTCCCCCAAGAAAAGTCTTGTCACACCATGCCACGGTTTTCTCAGTGAGCTTTCTTAGACAGCCCAGAAGCACCTGTCCAGGGATGGCACTACCCACATTGGGCTGGACACGCCCACGTCAATTATTAATCCAGAAAATGCCCCCACAAAGTTGCCTACAGGTTAATCTGATGGAGGCAATTCCTCACCTGATGTTTTCTCGCCCCAGGTGACTCTAGTTCGTGTCAAGCTGACAAACACTAGCCAGCATGGCATCTATCTTTTGTGAATCCAAGGGAAGTGTTCATTTGTGTACAGTGTTATTGATCATGTCAGCCTTTCCTCTGCTGGCTCCTAAGTTCCCCTTTCACCACACACATAAAAGCAATCCAGTTTCTGCTGTTAGATTCACAGACAACAGTAGGCTTTGTCAGAAGAAGCAACTCTGAGGTATCTCTCTACATCAGAGTCTTTCCAGAAGACGCGGTGACTATGTGATGTGTAGTGTTTCCCACAATCCTTCAGAAGCCTGGCTCACAGGGTACTCACCTCAATGGGCAGATCATCCCTCAAGACAATTACAACACCATCTTTCTGATGCCCACCGCCAGGCAGGAAAACTCATCTTCCCCAGTGGTGGAGAAAGCGCTATGAGCGCAGCCGTAAACACCAGCCATGCCTCCAGTGCTGTGTTTCAGAGCCCAGCAAGTTGGTCAAAGCAAGGTCTTTACCTATGACGAGAAGTTCACTGGGGATTATGCCTCATTCTCGGGGGCAGGAAGGAAAGATGAAAAACGTAAACTTCTCTTTCTAGATTATTCTGATGTTCAGCC